TACAACCGGCACTGTCAGCAGCTACTGATTCTGCAGAAAGTTGGTGACTTCTGACGACTATGCAGTGTTCACTGGCCCTTCTCTTTGACATAGGTGGTCTGCCGCTGTGTGTCTGAGTTAAAATTGCTCCCACTTTGTTATACAAACAGTTAGTGGAATATTTAGCATCTGGAAAATTTGACAACTGGACTTACTACACAGGTGGGATCCAATCACAGTACCATGCTAAAATTCACTGAGCTCCTGAGAGCGCTGCATTCTTTCAAAGGTGTTTGTAGAAGAAGTCTGCATGCATAGGTGCTAGATTTTACAAAAGAAAGCACTGAAATTGTCTTTACTTGGTGTATCTTCTGGCGGGAAATGTCCTTGAACTGTCACCAGGATGTGAGTTCCTCTCAAGAAGAGTTATTCTTCATTTTACTCCTCTGCCATTGCTAATAGAAAATGTTGCGGGGCGTGTCTTGTGCGTTGTTGACAGCTTGCGGTTTATTTGCTGTCCTATTTGTGGCCAACTCTTAACCATTCTTTTGGCTTTCGCTCCAGCTATGAGTAGAGGCGGACTGGATCCTCGCACGCGCATGAAGGATTAATTCAGGACACAGAAAAACTATTCTTCTCCACTCGGCTGCACCACTGACACACAGACCTAGAAACAGCGTGAGCAATTCAAATCTTGCTCTGTATCGACAGAGAGGAAGAAGAGGAGGAGGGGGGAAACCCCCAGCAAACTGACTTCATTTGGCAGTGAAGAAAAAGCGCTCCATGCCAAGTCCTCAGCAATGATGTCTATACAGTGGGATTTAACTGTGAAAAATAACTTTGCGAGGCAGCTGTGACTTTGGCAAATGAGAGCGGGAGGGGGGACTGCACAGGCAACGTGAACACCCCCCAGTCCATTTCCTCTCCTTTCTTTCCCTCCTCTGTTATTTACCGAATTCACAATGTCACTCACTCTCAGTCCTTTTTCCTCTTCTCTTGAAATTTCCTTCTCTCATATTGTTGTTGGGGACAATAAATAGGCTCGGGGTTTTCGTTATGAAGTCATGAAAAACCTAAACAGAGCTCGCATTTAGTCAACAACCATAACTTGTTGTGCTGCTTTGAATCTACAGCTGGTTTCCATTATGGATTTTGACTCCCATCCAAAAACGACTCTCTTCACCAGGCAAAACTTCCTTACCATCAACATTCCCCAAAAGGAAAGCAATCAGAGACTAAATTGAAACATATTTACACCTGACATAGACCCCTCGCAGCGTGACGTCATGCATGCAAGATCCTGCCCCCCATCTCGATGCTGGAGGGCAAAAAGCTGCTCGCTGATGATGACTACTATTTTAGCTGTTTTTTTTAGCTGTTAAGTTGTCAATATAAGGCGCAAATTCTTAAATGTACGTGTGATATATTTAAAAAAAGAGACGCAGTGATTTGCTACCAATTGTCAATACTACGACAACTAGCTAACAAGGTCAGAAAAATGTATGTAAAAAAAAAAATAGCAAGGGAAAGGGAAGTGGGTCAGTCATTTGACTTTGACAACCTTAACGTGCAGATGCAATGTGAAATTTGGTGTGTTTTGGTTCAGTTACAAAAAAAACAAAACAGTATTGACAGATAATCAGCAGAGAGAGTGTTTAAATTAGCTAATCAACCACTGCTGTGTTAGATTAGCTAATAGCAGCGGTAGCTAATCTACCACAGCGATCACTTATTAATATTCGTAAAATAAAGATCAAGCCTAAAAACACAAAACTGTAATGGACTGAATGTTGTGTTCTTTGCGTGTCTGGGTGCTTTTTGGTGTTTAATCCTTAGTGGCGTTGTTGGCAGTTGCTAGGGCAACGAGTCAGTGGTTTTGAGTTGCTCTTCAATGTTTTTTTCTGCATTATTTTTTCCTTGGCTGTGGCGCACTGCATTGAATTGATCAACACATCTGATGTACACCTGCATCTCCAGGTTTCATTTAGTTAATGGAATAGTTCTATGGCGGCGGCGCGGCTACTGATGGCTTGTAAAAGAATAATCTTTTTGTCCTCCAGCATTGAGCGCATGCGCAATATTTCCGGATGCAAACAATAACAGTTTTAATATTGTTCCAAAAAGTATTTCAGTCCCCTCCTCCTCTTCCCACCGAGTTAGTACTCTGGCAAGCCACTTTTTGTTTACGGGCATTATCCTGCTAGAAAGGCAGAGCTCTCCCCACAGATTCTAATCTTTTCCAGCATCTAACAAGTTTTCCTTCAGGATTTGATTGTATATTTAGCTCAATTCATCTTCCCATCAGCTCTGACCAGCTTCCCTGTCTCTGCTAAACAAACACACCCTGCAAGATGATGCTCAAGGTGTTTTGCGATGCTAGATTTTCACCACACAAAGTATTTTGTATGTAGATTCAATTGTAATCTTTGTTTTTGACAACTTACCACAAAGGCTAGACAACCTGGTGTCCAGTTGCAAGCTGATGATGTATGCAGCTTCTCCAGAGTTACCATGGCTGCTTCTCTGATTAATGTTTAGGTGGTTACCATGTCACTTGTGTCATACTCTTTGCATTAAATGTTTTTCTTCGTATCTTTGTCATTTCAAAGTCCAAGTCTGCCACGAGTCGGGGTTCTTCCTGTTAAATGGGAGTCTTTCCTTCTCACCGTCACTACATAGTATGGAGAATCGTTGCAAAGTTAATGACTCGATGCAATCAGCTGTGTTTCCGTAGTTAACTTTTTACAACTTGGCATTTATAACAATGGTTGAATTGGAATGTGTGTAATTGAATCCGGATCAGCCCAAATGACTAGAATTAATTGCCTACTTAAATGCAAATTGGATCTGTTTGTCTTGCAAAGTGCATTAAGCCTGCAGTTATTGTGAACCGGTGCTATATAAAAAGACATTAACTCAACAAGATTATTGCGCGTGTCGGTCCGTCACATAAAATCTCAATGAAATTACACTGAAGTTTATAACTATAACACAATGAAAATGCAAAATAATCAAGGGGGCACTGTTTGTCACGTTTCCACTATTCCTTTCTGAAGGAACTACAGATGAAAATCCCAAATAGTAACAGGTGTAAGCTATCGCTTGACAGTATTTACTGGAGGCGGGGACGTATGAGCTGGAGGGGCTATCTGGCCTGTTTTGAGACTGGAAAAGCCAGATCTTAGAACCCGTTCCCCCTGTATCTCATTGCATCCCCTTGGTCCATATAAAGTCCCGGCCTCCAAAGGGAATACAATGTAAAACAGAAATGATTTCCATTCCTTCTCTGCAGTAGAAAACATGTGGGAAACAACAGGAGTTGGCAAAAATAGCATCGACTCATCAAGCTTGAAAGAAGCAAATAAAATCTAAAAAAAAATAAAAAATAAAAAAAAAATTATAAGAGGGCAATGAGATCAAATGGTTCACAGAGCACTGTTGGAAATGTAGCTACAAATATGAAATCTGCCAACTGAAGCGTTTTCTAGAAGCTGTTTATCTGTTGAAATAATTAGGAGTGACTAGGAATGTTTCAGCATGCCCCGATAAATCTTGCTTCTTGTTCTGCACAGCATTTCTCCTTTTTCACTGTTTTTAATCAAACGTCACGCAACGGAAAAGTATGCAATTTTAAATATCAGTGAATTCTTAGCAGCTAATGTTGCCACGCTAGCACAGAAGGCCCTTTGTTAAATAGACAATTCTTGGTGCAGGAAAAGAGGTCAGATTTAAAATCCACCAGCTCTGTCCTCCACGAGTGCTCGGTCGCCCACCCAGGGTCATCAGAGGAATGCCTTCAGGCAAGCAGGCCAATGTGAGTGGACATTTTCTGCACAAGACAGAGGAAGATAAAGCCAGAACCAGAGCATGGTGGGGGGGGGGAAAAAAGGGAAACAAGTGCTGAGATGACTGTATCTGTCTGCTCAGTGGAAGCCATGTCTTTCTAAAAGCCGTACAAAGGCAGCTCTGACATGAGGGGAGAGGGTGTGGCAGAAGAGTAAACTTAAAGAACAAAGAGGAGAATAAGCAAAGTGAACTCGCTACACTGGTTTAAGATTTACCAACTAAAAGCTTAGGTGAAAAAAACAAACAAACAAAAATAACAAGTTAAATTCAGGAAAAGAAATTTCCTGAAACAGAATGAGCTTTATCTTCATCTCCGCCCCGTCTCAGGTTCCAGAAACACCCTCCAATCAAAGCCGCCTGAAGATACCTAATCGCCCCAATCACAACCAGGACATGAAAAGCCTGCTGACTCCAGACACGCAACTTCTGAGGCAAACAGACTTCTGGGCAACAGATGGAGCTGATATCACATCCCCGAGTGACCATCTGTGTGAAACCAGCACAACACACACCCCTTCTTCTCGTATTTTTCTCCCCACAAGGATGGCGGTTTTCTACGTGCCTCTTTTTACAGAGATGACATGTGAGAATGTGGACAAAGCTTAAATCGGCAGGAACATGGCCTTCGACCATAATAGGACACGAAAAAGGACGTCAAAATATGAGAGTACACGATGTACGGCTGCAATTAACGATTACATTAGCAATCAATTAATTTATTATTCCCTATTTTTTTTTTTTATTGAAGCCTTTTTTGTAAAATATTAGAAAATTCTTTAACATAATCTGAACCCGGTGAAGCTAAAACTATGCCTGTTGAAGGTTTTGGGCTCACCACATTAACATACTTGTCTTATCTTAAATGCAAAAAGTAAATATTTTTTGTACATTTTTGGATTAATTACTGATCTGAGTATGTTGTTCTTTCAGCAATAGACATTTTTTTTTAGTCCAGTTAACTATTACTCAGTTACTCAATTAGTTGACGATTATTTCGATAATCGATTCATCACGATTAATCGTTTTAGCCTTAATACAATGTTTTGGCAATCACCATGTCTGTCTTTAAAAGGGAGAGTGAAGCAGAATTGATGAGAAGCTGGGTGGAGCTAAAATTTGAGGCAATCCTGGAAGGAGATCAGTAAGGTGAGTCAGTTTTTGAGTAAGGTCGTTACCTCCTCCTGCGAAGCGTAGTGAGGGTCTGCAGACTCCACCGACCAGTAGCAGTAGTCAAAACAAAACTCCAGAAGCTTCTCCCTGGAATCCACGGCTCCCTCTAAACGGCCATCCAACTGTGGAGAAGAGACAGAAGACGAGCAAATTAGGGATGCAGCTAACCGTTATTTTAGTAATTGATTATTCTGACGATTAATCGATCAATCGACACGTGCTGCAGTCTTTTCGTTTGCTTTTTTTATATATTGCATTAAAAGATGCAATTAAACAATTCAATTCCGTTTTTAAATAAAAAAAAAAAAAAAAAAAAAAACTGTTTATTGCCTAAAATGCAATAACGTAGCATTCCTTCAGTAAATTTGAACCGGATGAAGCTAAAACTACGTCACTTGAGGAGTTTTGGCTTAAATATATTTATAGACAATGGTGTTTTCATCTTAAATGTAAAATGTATATGTATGTTTTGTACAGTTTTGGATTATTGCTGCTCTGAACATATGGTATTTTTAGCAAATTACCTTTTTTTTTTTGTCTGTACACTCCAGTCGACGATTAATCAATATTAGTTGACGATTAATTCAATTATCGCTTCAACACAATTAATCCAATCTCGATGCTCGTCAAAATAGAGTTGAGAGGTCAATTAAGTAATAATTAATTCACAAAGTGAAAGAAAGAGAAACAGCCAGCACAGTACTCTACTTCACTGCATATTGACAGGCTTTACACAGAAAGGCGCTCTCTGATTTTTAGTAACCAGGACTAAGGGTAAAAAGAAACAAAATAAATCACTGTGATAAAACCCAACACAACATGTCGTGTCAATGGGCCAACTACAGAGTGGAATCGCAAGCAAGCCGTTTCCACCCATTAGCAATGCACTTACTCCTGCAGTCCCCGATACGCCTCGGCGCACTGACACTCACCCACCTTTCTGCTTACTATGAGTGAATAATGTGCCGAGGACAAACAGCGCAGCAGGATTTTAACCTGACTTCAGTCCAGCATATCAGCAACGCTTCTAAAAAAATCACCGCTCAACTTAGACACTGATCTCGGCTTAGGTGGTGTTCAGTTTGTTCAGATCGCTCAGGGTGAATCTTCGCCAAACCGCCCAGTTAAACCTACATATATAAATGAGATTGTTAAAACTATGATTAAAGAGTGCTTTTATGGCTTCAAAGACTTTGATCCTTGAAGTTTACTATTGGAGAACACATGGAAAGAGAAGCTTTACTTTTATGACTGCGGAACAACATGGCCGTACATCTTTTTGAAATGCTTTGTAGTCTGCTCCCGTTAAGACTTGGGTAGTGATTTGAATCCACTTAACTTGTCAAAAGTACTTCAGAGTAACCTGTTGTATTAAAAGTTTGAATTATTTTTGATTAGGCTGCTTTTAAAACATTGAATTTTTTAACATATATAAAAACTACTTGGTTTAACTGCATATCCTGATTCATTATAAAACGTCTATACTTGCTTCGTAAAATATCCATAACATGGATTACCCCAAAAATGTTCAACTATCAAAAGCAAATGTCTTTTTCAGCCCTCTAGTCTGTTTTATTTTGCTGTTGGGGCAAATTTTTTGTATTTGCAACTTAAAATTTTTAGGGATAGCACTTTCCAAAAATGGTTAAATATTTATTTTCTTTAAAAAAAAACATTTACATATACATAGTAAAACAGCTTTGTAATGGTTCTCACTTTTCCACCTTCTTTGAACTTCTGTCAACTCCTCTTGTTAACTTACAAGAATTTGTCATTTCTCGTAATGTAGAGAAAACGTACAGCGAAGAAAATGGAACAATTTGCTTAGAAAGACTCAATTTAGATTAAATTCTTATTTTATGGACCAAGTACTTCAATTCAAAGAACTTTCATTCATAATTTAGGCACACAGCAGGGTTGCCTCCTTAACTTATTTCATCAAACCCAAGTTAACATCACTTCAACACAGGCAACACTGACAATAAAGTTTCCCGTTATGCTGACGATATATTACTGTTCAGGTCAAAAACCTTTCGTACCGTCACCGTATTTGTCGTCATCACTTAAGTAATTTGGTTACTGTGCAAGTTTTAAATAGAATTCAACACAGTTAACTTTTGTTTTTTAAATTAAGACTTTCCATAAATTGGATCTGTCTGACCTATCATTTAAAACAGCAATTTACCTATAATAAAAGCACAAACGTCCCCTTGAAGGAAACCTTTTAAAACTAATAAACTAAATGAAAGTGGGAGTATTATTTTCAAGAAAAGTACTTTGAGGAAGAGTAAATAAGGCTGCA